AATGCCAAGATTTCACAATTTTTGGCCTACCTTAAAGAAAATGAGTAACAGAGAAACCCATGCACCAGGAAACAAATGAGCAGAACTAGTGAACTAAGGTCTATCAAGCAGGGTTCAAGATCACTTGGACTGGATGACAGTTGATATATTTGCACTGCAGTTCATCTGTTTTCTTATCTGGGAAAGCGTTCTGTAATAAATCATAATTTACTGCATGTTCTGCAACCTTGTCAAAGGGCACACCTAAGATTTTTGCTTCAGTAATAAATTCCACCCAACTGTGTGTAGGAATTCACTTGACAATCTGGACATAACTAAAATATTTTGGCATTTTCTAACATCAGTACTTTTGATCTAGCACCCACAACTCATCTGGTTTACACAACACCACATTTACTTTCTTCTAAATTGAATTCTGCTTAAAAACTAACAGCAGATTTCAAAGTAATTCTCCAATGACAATCACCAGGGAGCAAAAAACCCCAAGGCTGTTGGACAAAGACTCCAATTCCCAACACATAACTGCTTCTCATCCCCTCTTTTCACTTGCCCTTTTCCCTGGTGGGACTGTTTATCTCTGAATAGGAACAGAGCAACAAAATGTTGTGATCAACCAAAGGTGTTTAGTGATTAATCAGAAATAGGTAGAGAATAACCAAATCATTACAGCTTGAAGTTCAGCATTATAAGACTCACCATTTGTATGCAGTATCACATGTTAAAATTGCATCTCAGTGTGCCAGTAAGTGAAGGGCTTTCTAGGATTACTGGTTGCATGCCTATTTTCCTTCTAAAACCACTGTTCAGGGTGAAAGGGAATTAATTTTATGATACAAGCAGAAAGTTTCAAAAATTGCTATGCAGTTTGCCATCTTGATCTACTCCGAATATACCTGGACAGACACTGGAGATAGGTCTGTTTATTTTCCTTATATGAAACTTCTAAACACAACTACTGCCTTTAAAATACTTAAACCACCATACTTCTCTGCTAACAAATGTGATGTCTGCAGTTACAAGAAAACCTAAAATCCCAAGCACTGTGACTTGAAGAGAATTTCTTGCCATTTGCTACTGGCCAAAGAACCCACACCAATGATCGTTAAAAAATGTTTAGGAGTGCCAGATTCCAGTATTATCATTTTTCTATGACTTGTCTATGATGTTATTGTTGTAAGCCTGTAACGTTGTTTACTACTCATATTAACAAAGTCACTGAGATTAACTTAGCTGCATTACAAATAAATTTTACCCACATACCACTTCATTAAAAATCTGTACGTGTACTATTATAGTTGGAGTAACCAATTAATATGTATGAACTGCTAAGACTGAATAACACTCTAACCTTGCTTTAACAGGCAACTGTCTGAAACTCACACGTTCAAAACTGGAAATTTCAGTATTCACTGTCTTTCAGTGTTTCAGGCTGGAAAACTCAAAAGGAAATCCCTTCTAGGTTTTTAACTTAATGACCTAAGCTTTGAAGGGGAAAGAACTCTTTCCATTAGCCACATATTAAAAAAAAAAAAAAGTTATTTTGAGAGTCTCCGTGACTCTCAAGGTCATAAAGTCCTTCTAAAGATTTATATTCAGCTTTGTATAATATTAGAAGTGGTGTGTCAGCAGTGAAGCCATGTATCCTTATCACCTATAGATTTCTGGCAGTCACAAGAAAACTTCTTTTATTACAGATTCTTGTGCCCTATTCTTTGACCACTTGCAGCTCAGTGAAGTCTGTCCTGCCTCAGGGTTCCCACAGGCTTGAATCAAAGAGCGTTCAGGTCTTGTTCTTCCTCCCTGTCTCTCAAGCCTTTCCACAGTGCCTTGTATTTCCTTCTATGTTTCCTGTTCAATATCCCCAAGTTGCTCAGACATTCGCCGCTGGGTGGGCAGAGCATCCCAGGCTATGAATGGTTGTTGCCAGACAAGGTGCTCCCCTTATCAGTACGGGCACACTGCAGCAAACAATGACTGAAGTTGGGATTTCCCCCTCCGTCATTCAGCAGATGGACTAAGAGCACTTGTCCTCTGAGTGATAATCCTCTCTGGACCTTGGAGAACTTAACCTTTCTAAAGGAAAAAATTCTTGGGAAAGCTGTAAAAGCCAAATTTTTGAAGAAAAAACATGTATCATTTAAAAAAATTACTGTAACATTGAAATCACAGACGATGATACAAAGACAGATAAAAGAAGCTTAAGGAATGGAGCAGAGTTAATGAGGTCAGAAAACCAGGAGGAAAAGACGACAACAATCTATGCACTTTGTGTGCTGGTCCTACCTTCTCCTCAGAAAAATACGTTTTTAAAAGTACTCTTTTAAAAACATGCATACAATTTTGATTTGCTCTTGACTAGGTTTTGTATAAACCACAGGAGATTTGAAACCAGAAACAGAGAACTCAGCTCAGTGCTTCATTACACTCATTCGAGTCGCTCCCATCACTGCCTCTTCTAAGAAAAAAGGTCACAGGGTACTTAGTGGGAAAGTGGACAGGCAGATATCGGGGCCAGGAATGGTATGAACACTCTTATATTACAGTCCGACTATTTTCTGTGGCATGTAAATAACTGAGGAACTACACACTGATCAGATGTGCAAATTATGCAGAGATGTAATGTCAGCGAGTCACCAGATTTCTACCTCATCAGCCTCACTTCACTGGTGTAAAGGGTGGTGGTGCCTGTGAGAATCCATATGCACAAAATTTATACATTGGCTTCTGCTGATTTACGTCAGATAAAGGATCTTAGCTCAGTGATTTGCAAATTACATCTTTAAGAGGACCTGCCAGCTTCTTTTCCTTCACAAATACAATGACGAGAACACAACTTACGTTCAACTTGATCAAACACTACCGAGAACAAGAAATCTCTTGGTGTCATGTAATGTTCTCCTTCATATTCCAACGATGCAAAATGCCTGAAGCGATGTTTCCGAAGAGACAGTCTTTCGTCCCTTTCCGCATTAATGACATCTTCCTTCTGAAACAGAAAAAAAATTCATGCAGAAAGATGGTTGCATTTGTAGACCAACTCTGTAATTAGGGAGAATCCTATACCCGATCTTGATTAACCTCAGTATTTTGTGGGGAGCCACAACAAGAGACTGCCAGGAATTAAAGCTTTTATGGCACAGGTTTAATCAATGAGGTCCTTGTATGACATTCAAAGTATTTTTTGGCTCCACTGAGAGCACGCCTTAACAACACAGCTGAGCCACACCAAGGGCTCGCTGCCTCAAAGGCTGCCCTCACTTCCCTCTCCCCTGCTCTGGGCCGTATGGTCCTGCACTTCCTCGCGTCCCAGCTCGGCTACTTGTTGGACTCTTGCTGAGCCAAATTCAGCTCACTGACTCAACAAAAAACTAAACCGACCAAACAGCAAATAGCATTTTGCCAGGTTAGTGACCGGCTCAGCAAAGGTTAAAATGTGCTCCACATCCGTGCAAATAATCCGCTCCTGAAGTTAATTATCCAGCTCTGGAGCAACTCCTAAGATGGGAGAATAATGATGTTCTAGTTTAAGGATGGGTCTCTTTCAGAGAAGTTAGAAAAACTTGAAAAGCAATGAAAACACCAACAAGAGAGTCAGATATTGTATCACCAAACCCAAAGATTCAACTAGTCAAGCAAACAAAAACTTCCAAGTTCCCCCCCTTAAATATTGAGAGATTCATGATTGAAATCATACAAGTTGACAGCCCTCTGAGAAGCAGTAACAGCACTTACTGCCAGCAGGAGAGGACACAGACACAGTGACACAGAGATGTTGACGTTTTAGGATTTCAGAGCTAGTAAGTGACAACAGGAAAACAAGACGCTCTGAAGTTCAGCACACAGTGAGTGTATTTGAACATTAATCACTGAACAAATTTACCACCAGCAGTATCACTCAATTTTAGGACTGTTCAAAGACGTGAGAAAGTGAAGGAAATGCAAGAAAACCCAAGGCTAAGTACCAAGATCCAAACTTGAACATACTCGAAACAAGTCAGTAAACAGCAAGACGGATCTGCAGGTAGGTCAGTGCCTGTAGCATCACTTGATGCGTGATGCCAATGAGCAGGTACAGCCCAGGGCAGGGCCTACCGAGATGCTGCATCACATCTTCCAGCAAACCACCACTATTCGGTTATGCAGTTTTCAGTTTCTGGATCATTTCTACGGACTGCTTGGCATTTCAGCAGTCCAGTACAGTGCTGGTGTATGCTGCAGTTTGCAAACTGGGTTATATGTGAGATAGGGCAGTGTGAGCGGCTCCTGGTTACGCTCAGCCCAGCTGCAGCAAGGGTCTCAGCAGCTGCTGTTAAAACACAGGGTCTGCTGGGCTGAGCGCGGTCACGGGGCGAGCTGTGGGACACAGGGAGGCAGGCAGTATGTGACCGGAGTCAGAGGAGACCAGTGGGAACATCTCACTTGCCCTTGCTGAAGTCAGCGCTGGTTACAGCGACAGGAGAGGTTAACAGGAACCCACGGGAGGCTGTTACGGAAATGGGGAATGTGCAGAGATACTCGCAAATAGCGTACCAGGTAACGGGGTGCCTGTGTGTCTGTGTGCACACATCCAGGGAGCGGGCAAGTGAGAGGGAATGGGGTGCTCTGAACCACTTCAAAGTTGTGATCCGGTTTCTGACACTTCAGTTTTAACTTGCTATTCCTCCAGGATGGGGACTGCTAATTCAGTCTCCTCTCCTGACTCTGAACAATTGCAGAATCAAGCGCCGGCAGTCACATTTCCACCACCCAGCCGACAGCATGCCAGGACTTCGGGATGAAGCGGCAGAGACAGCAGGGGAGTCAGCTGATACAACATCCAAGTTGGTTTGGGGTAATAGCTTCTAGCTCTCAGACAGGGTTCTGCAGCTAAAATAAAACCCATTGGGTTTAGTGTCAGGCTTATGAGGCACAGGAAGGAGATGGAGGGCTGATACTGACAAGGGCGGCTCCAAGTAATGGGACCCAGTGTGATCTGAGAGCAAGGACCAACTCCTTTGAAGGGAAGCACTCTGGGAACAGGAGGGTGGACCTCAAGCTGTGGCCAAGAACCAGTCCATTGAAGAAGGCACGAAAAAACAGTTCAGTGGACAATGAGACATCAGAGAAGAGGATGGAGCATTTCAACTTTGTGTCATTAGGTTTTGTTTTCTTCTACCCATCGTGGTCTCTTACTGGATATAGGGACCACATGCTCATACAATTTGAGGATCTCAAGACAAGGGGTACAACTGACATACCTATAGCCATAGCCTGGATACAATTATTACCATCATACGTTATACTATCACAGAACCACAGACTCACAGAACAGTTGAGGTTGGAAGGGACTTCTGGGGATCACGCAGTCCAACCCCCCTGCCAAAGCAGGGTCACCTACAGCAGGTTGCACAGGATTGTGTCCAGGCATGTTTTGAATCTCTCCAGAGGAGGAGACTCTACAACCTCTCTGGGCAGCCTGTGCCAGGGCTCTGCCACCCTCAAAGTACAGAAGTTCTTCCTCACATTCAGGTGGAACTGCCTGAGTTTCAGCTTGCGCCCGTTGCCCCTTAACCTGTCGCTGGGCACCACTGAAAAGAGTCTGGCCCCGTCCTCTTGACACCCACCCTTAAGGTATTTATAAGCGTTGATGAGATCCCCTCTCAGTCTTGACCAGACCAAGCTCTCTCAGCCTCTCCTCATCAGGGAGATGCTCCAGTCCCCTCATCATCGTCGTTGCCCTTCGCTGGACTCTCTCCAGTAGTTCCTCGTCTGTCTTGAACTGGGGAGCCCAGAACTGGTCACAGTACTTAATTATACTTACTTAATTAATATTTAATTACTTATACTTAATTAGTTCTGAATAGAAGGTTGCAAGTTGCCATTTAATCTCACATCCTGCACCTCTGTGGTGTTAGCATCAAGCACTTGTTAAAATATTTCACTGAACAATACCAGCACCTTGTTATAGTCAATTTTAGTTTCCCCTTGTAGCGTGTTTGCTTCCCTCAAACCTTGGGTTTCAACAAAAGCAGGAGGAGAGGGGACCAACAACAAGAAAAACCCCAAAATACTTATAATTTAGAATTAAAACAGTCATATTCTGATAGGCAAGGAGAATGAGGGCTGCTTCTAAGTATCTGAAGCCAAGGTTTGCTTTGTTTTAGATACGACCACTGCGTATCAGTATCACTGCTTTGAGCTTCTTACAAAGTACGGAGCTTCATCATGGCCTACAACACAAGCAGCACTGCTGCTGTTCTGTGATTCAGATCTGTATGTTCTGGAAAACACTGTTTAAAAATAAATGTAATATAATGAGAACTTTAGCTTTATTCTTTTTAAAACTTTGAGGGACAAGTGACTCTGTAACTGCTTAGTTAACAAGACTCAACAAATGTTCATAGTTGCTGGGTATTAACATGCAGCGTTCTTATTATAATCTTCTCATAATAACATCAGCAATTTTTGCCTGACAGCAAATTTAAAAAAAAAAAAATATGGAAAATTGCTTCACAGTTGTCCTTTAACTAAAATTAGGGAATAAAACCCAATCTTTCTGCACAAATAAAGTAAAAAAATTTAGACACAAAGTAAGGAGCTAATCCTACAATGTCTACAAACCAACTGGATTTTCAGGTTTCTTCAGTCTTGCAGTATTTGCCTGAATTCTCTCTAAAGCTAAACTTGTCATGGACATCAAAGCGCTGAATTTCAGCAATCCACATTTTTAACTGAAATAGAGAGGCACAAGTTCACATATTAACTTGGAAGAGTGCTTTGTATTTGGATGAGAACGTATTCCCATCAGAATTACAATAATGCGTGACTACGGATTCATCAGCCCCTTTCATTTCATGACACTAGCATCCCTGGTTGGCAAAACAGCCTTGCGAACATGGGTCATTTCTTACGAAAGTCAGCTTCAAATACTAGCACAAATGAGATAAGCAAACCTTATGGGATGAAATGCATCAGCTCTGTCATCTCCTGCTTTGTTTTCAAAGCTTTTGCAAAATTCCTGACCTCCTGCCACTGTATGAGCATCTGCTAAAAGCACCCTGATCCCTCTGGACACCAGCACCAGCTTGGCTCGAGCTATGCTAGAGCTCAGCTGCTCACGTGCGCCGGCTTACGACTTCTGAACAGCGTATGGCCCTCAGACTCAAAACTCATGGCACTCCAAAGGCAGTAAACCAATTTATATCAGCTACAAAGCTCACCTGGCCATCTTCATGATGAAAGGTATCTCTATTTCTGCTTTCCCCCCATCTTTTAGTATGGTTACTGTGACAGTCTCTACAGCCTACTCCAAACATGCCAATATTAAAGGAAAAGAAACAAAAAGACTGTGCAACAACCAGGAGTGCAGAAGTGTAACATGAAAGCAACATTTTTGCAACTATCTCATATCCCATTATTTTGCACTTTAATTTAGGGAGGAGCACAAGGCAGACCTCAATGAAGGTCTGGGAGAGAAACACGTTCAGACAAAATAAAAAGCCTATCAAAATATTTCAAAAATACTGAGTAAGTTTTACCCCCCTCGACAGTTATAAGAACAAAGGCTGAAATTTCCCCAAGTGGCTCTGCGTTCTGTGCAAAACCTAAGAAAAAAAAAAAAAATCTGAAAGTTTTTATTAAGCCCCTTTTTACTACAGACCATCTGGAAGCTGAGCAAACTGGGCTTTTTCAACCTGGAGAAGAGAAAGCTTCTGGAGGACCTAACAGCAACCTCAGTGCCTAGAGGGAAGTCCCACAGCCGCACCGCCAGCACCCCCACGCCGTGGGGGGCATCCGCGCCCCCTGCACAAGGAGCGTTGAGAACGGCAGGTCTGGAGCGCGGTTACAGGGACGTCTTTTAGCTGTCTGGACAGTCGGTTCAGAAGATGCACAGAGGGATAGAGCACCACAAAAAAAGCCAACCTCGCTTCACCCCAAACACGTTTGCACAATTTTATTGCATGAGAGAATGAAAACCTGGGAAAACGTAACTGGAGAGTCGAAGCTCGGGGGAGAAGA